AGTTAAATTCAAAATAAATGAGTATTTGAAATTCTTCATAAATAAAATAACCGTCGTTCTGGGTGATCACAAATGAAATTGATGTCTGTCTTTGCACTGATCAGATATTAGACCTTTTGTCCAATCACTCTAATGTGTTTCAATATGTCTGTTAACTGTAAGTTTGTGAAGTATTTAATGTTAATTCTACTTGAGACTGCCATATTTTACAAATCTAACTGGTGTCCGTGTCTACCTACAATTTTCACTTAACAGATTCCCCTCTTAGTCCTGAGATAGGTAAAAGGTATGAAGGGAGGTTTTAATTGTTCACATATATGACCAATGAATCCAGGATATGTGGCACAAGCACTGTGTCATGATTCTAACAGAAGTACGTTATATGAACTATCCATTCATCCATCATAGTGAGAGTAAATGATTTCGAAAGTCTTCATAACCTAATCATCCCTTTTGTCGAAATCAGATTTTCACAAGAAGAACAATCAGACGAAAAATTACAGTTCTTTATGGCTTCTCCAAGGGACCGGTTAAAGTAAAATACGCAGGAAGTCCATCCAGATAATGTGGTATAAATCATCGTCTAGACTAGTTAATTAATTCATGTTGTCTAGAAAGACAGTGAAAGCTTTGTAATCATGTCATTCACCCTAGAGAAGATATAACCACTATAAAAAATTCACCTGATCTGCAAACTCAAAATGAGCATTTGTTTTATGTCGTTTATTTAAATTTGTCAGTTCAAACGTAAATGATGATGAAATCGAAGTGATTTATGAACTGAATTTATTTGTTGATGAACACAACAGCCTTGAGTATGTAGACTACTGTGATAGTTGGATGGAAATGTACGTTCAGACAACATGAGATATTAAAGAATTTCCTAGAGATTTAAACTTAATCTGCACCAATGAATTTACCACTTATAAATTTCATAAAGGGGGTTTAAAAAAATAAAATGCTTGGTGTACTTCAGCAATAACAAAGTGGTTTTTTCTCTAAGTCTTTAACTATTTTAACAGTAAATAGGTGCGAGAAGAAAATAAATTTTACAATGACCTGAAATCTCAAAATAAACAGAAAATCGGTTTATTTGAAGGGTTGTCTTCAAATCCAAAATACTCTTGATAAACGCTGAAATTCCATTCTTTCTCTGACTGATTACAACCTGTGATATCCTTTAATATTGGAAGCCAAGAGTCACAAAAGACGTTCACACTAATAAGGCACCAATCGAATGGTAGTGTTTTTACCTGACTAATCCAAAATGTGATTCATGGTTTTTCTCTTCCAAAACCCGCGAATATATGGTAAAAATTTGACAACTAACATTTTAAAAACCGTTGTGTACAGTTTCTAAACTGCCATATATCATCACTGACTAACAGCTCTCTAGCACTCATTATGATGAATGATAACAAGCTGTTACTTGATTTTACTAAAAATATGCACATCAGATGTGTGGAATCTTCAGAAAGAGTGGGAAACACAAAAAATATGAAAATATCCACCCACTAGAAAAGTACACGGGATGGATAACTAACTAATGTTTACAGTTGGGTGCCAATTTCCAGGAAAAGAAATCCAAATCATTCCCTCCACCATGGGATGAGAAATATTTGTAATTCTAATGGGAAACTTTCTTTCTTAAAAACCACACTTGCAGCAAATGGTTAAATAACCGACTTATTGATAAAAAACTTAAAAGATAAACAATCGTTTGGGAGTAGATTGTTGACTTTCCAGTTAATGATCTTGAGACTCCACTTCCGTTCCAACTGCTCTCACAGATTCCCAGCACTTTTTAAAAGGATCTTCTCATTTCTTTTGCAATATGAACAACCTTCGCAGCTTCATATATCGTGCGGACGTTTTGCATCCTGGTTTTTTTCTTCACTGAGAGGATACTTATTGTCTTCCCGAAAGGTTTCACCAGCCTCTATCACTTCGTCTCTCTTATTCCAGCAAAGAGTAAATCTATATGTTATATTATTCTTATTCTCTCTGAAGGCGATATTCAAGGAAATGTGTACAACTGTTCTAGGAGGAAAGAAGAAACAAGACAAGGAATGGCTGTCAACGGATACCTACCTGGAAGCTAATCTAGGGGAGGAGGATGGTGAAAGAGAAGGTGACTCAATGCAAAGATGGACAACAGGATGAGAAGCTGAGTTCAATGTACACTGCACTGAATAAAGAGAGAAGTAGAGAAGAGTGCCAGAAGAGACAAACGACAATTCTACGACACACTGGCAACTGAAGCAGAACGGGCGGGCTGCTGTTAAAAGAGAACTCAAGGCGTTATATCAAATAACCAGGTCTCTTTCTGGAAAAAGATCAACCCAGATGATAGAAAGAATAAAAGATACTTAAGGTAACCTGATTACCAGAGAAGAGAGGCTAATAAAACAGTGGGTTGATCAATTTATAGAACTGTTGAACGACCATTACCTGCAACACACCCAGAACTGCCTGCCAGTGTACACCACTTCCCCAACAAAAGCAGAAATCCTAAATGCGATCAAGCTACTGAAGTCCGGGAAGGTAGCATTACCAGACGACATTCCTCCCGAAGCACTGAAGACAGCCACAGAGATTACGGCAGATGGTCTCATGCCATTAGTGCAGGAAGTTTGGAAGGAAGGAAGGGCCCCTAATAACTGAAAGAAGGGCAACCTAGTTAGGCCTCTGCAAGAACTGGCGTGGAATAATGCTCTTGTCTACGCTAAGTAAAATACTAAGTCACAACATCCTGGAGAGAATAAAAGATGCATTGGATACAGAACTTCGGCAGCACGAAATAAGTTGGATTTAGGAAAGGCTAATCATATGCTGATCGAATTGCAACTCTACGCATCGTCATCGAACAAAACATAGAATAGCAGTCAAATCTCTCACTATCTCAACTTCATCGACTTTGAAAAGGCCTTCGCTAGACAGCGTTAACCGAGAAATTATTTGGAAACTGCTTCAAAATTATGGCATGCCTCAAGTGTTTGTCAACCTCATTTAACATCTGGCTTTATGACAGTGCTACGTTCCCGGAAAACGCAGTGAGGCGTTCTAAGTAAATACAGGAGTAAGACAAGCTGGTTGCCTATTACCGACGATGATATTCCTAATTGGGGTAGGCCGAATTATGCGAAAGACTGTGAAGAGTGAGGAGACGTCATCAGTTAATATTATCATTCAACACTGTGTGATTTATCAAAATAAAATCTCCATAATGGAGTTTATACTCTGCCACAGTGCCCAAGTTTTATACTTATATTAATGAGACAGGAATACGAGAATAGTTCATGTCTAATTTCATACAAACTCGAAGATATGCAGGCTCCATAATGAAGGTCAAATGGCCTGCAAGCCAGAGAGGATTAGTGAAAAAAAACTCTGGCTGGGAACAAACCAAAAGGCTAGAGCCTATTGATCAACGAATATGTAAGAGAAAATGCGGAAGGATTGGGCATGCGTTGAGGAGACAGTCGAGTGACATCACACGCAATGTAGGCCATTGCTCAAGTGGAATCCAAATGGGAAACGGCGAGTGCGTCTTTCTAGGGTGACATGGAGGAGATCGGGTGGAGAAGAGATGAGAGAGTTTGGGCAATCGAGGACCCAGATGTAGAGGACGGCAGTAAACAGAACAAAGTGGAGATGAAGTCCTATTTTCCACTAAAAACCCAAGGGAATAACACTGATAGGAATCTGTGTAGTAATCTAACTACTGCCTGGAGTAGGATAGTTAACTTTTCATCCAATCTCTTTTTTTCCGGGGTTAAGACTGACTATCAGTCAGGTGAACTATTAAGTTAGGCAGCTTACCTTCATATTAACTTGCCAGTCAACCATGACTTACTAGATAAGAGCAAATTCTTCTTACAGTCAGTGCTACGTCAGCTTTTCTAAAACCCATCATTATTGCGGAATTATTACTTAGGAATATGGAGCCATACGTATACATGAATTTTAAGAAATACAGTAAAATTATATGATCTAAAAATAAGGGGACTTCGTGCAAATTGGTAAATATTTATTATTTATATAGAATTATTTACTGGTAAATTATGCACACATTAAGCTGTTTAGTTGTACTCCCTCTCTCTTAGGCTATAAGATTCTGATACAATATTTTTTAGTCAATTATTATTTAGATGAGCAAAAACCAACAGTTTCTCAACTGTATTTCTTCTATATTATGAATCTTAAGTGAATCTGAAAAAATGATTGAATGCATGACTCTACTTATTAGTAGTTAAATACTAACAATGAAAATAACCGGATACATATTTTAAGATTTTGCTTAAATCTATTTAGTTGAAAGTTACGAAAAGTGGAATCAATAATATGCGAAAGATATTTGAATAAATATGAATCAGCTAGGACGTAAAAGTTTATAGCCACTGAAAAATAGCAAATTCATTCCTTAGAATAGATACAAGCCTTTGTTAATATCCACTGACATACACTGCTTGTATTGTAAGTTGTTTTGATTTACCGAGAATTCATACACCTAATTGGATATGTATTAGGCATTATACTGCGATTGAGAGGATAGTCCAGTATTTCCTAGTAAGTTTAGCAACTAGAATATCTGTAAGAGAAATCTGACGTTTAAACTTGGTTACAAGATGTGGAAAGGAAACTAGAGATTTATTACAAACTTATTTAATGGTAACACACTGCAGTGTTGCGATGCTTCCCAGCCACGTGACAGGACCAGCTTTGATTCCCGATCAGTGCATTCCTAAAAACGTGCATAGTTTACCAGTCTATAACTAGCCCTGAAAAGCGGGAATATGAGTATAGGGTGAGCAACTACTCTCCATAAAAGCAGTATCATCCCTACCAACAATTCAAAGCTTGAAGTCATCTGTTCAGCTCAGAATACAGTGAAAGAAAACAAACAAATTAATTCTGAAGGCGACAAAGATGACACGACTGGGAAGGAAATCATTAATCTAAGCCACGTTAAAGATCGTAATATCTTTTTCACACAGTGTATTCTATTGAACTGGATGGAGCCATCAATGAGATGAATCATCCTGACAACCATGAAATTTAAGACACAACCGGTACAATCTATTTTTTTAATAAATAATATGAATAAATACAGTGCAAACCAAAGTAAGTACTTATACTTCAGCAAAACAATTAGTTTTTTTCAAAACATTCTGTAAAACCGTAAATAAAAAATAAGAAAACATAAGTCCAGGTTAAATTGGAAAATAGGCTAAAACAGCTGAAAACTGAAATATAGACAGTTGTGCCAAAGATTTGTACACTAATGATAAATTCGAATTCGAATTTGAAAAGTACTCAGCTTTTTAAAGTTAAGCAATAAGAGTGTTCAGCGGAATGACACTGCATCACTTCCAAAATAAATCAAAATATATTTTGATATGGGAAGAATACAATTACTGAATTAAAATATACCTGGACTTTATGAACAGAAGTTAAGTCAGAAACACTAGGATTTGACAATTCTTTGTTTACATATATATGTATACATATCACGAGAATTTTTACAGGTATTTATTTTTAGATAATTTTACTGAAAAGCTATGCATCTCACTTACACTTCTTTAAACTTGACGACAAGTTTCGGTGACACAACTTTTAAATTAATCGTGAGTTTTTATGAGTCTGGTTGAACCTGATTTAGATTCATGTGAATCATGACGGGAAAGAGGATGTCGGCGGTTTGTACGTGTTGTGGTACTGACTGACCAAGTAGAATTGAGAGATTTATTGGAATTCTTATTAAATTCATGCAATGACATGGGGGATGGAATAAATGGAGGTGTACTGGTTTTACTTGAAGTACTAATTCTATGAAACGCAGATGGAGTACACGGTTTTGAGCTTTTCCAGTTGGACGATAGACTGACGCTACGTAACAGTTTGTTTTTACGTAATTTACAAGTTAAGTTCTCTGCACTATTGCGCGTAGACAGCTTATCTTTTGATTTGGAGTTACTTCGATGACAGAATATGGATGACTTATGACTGTGAAGATCTTCATAATAGGCTTGAAGTTGTCCCATAAAGTGTAGATTTGGTCCAGCCACAGATCTACGGGCTTGTACATATTCCAATGCTTTGTAAACATTCAGCATCCGATTACTGTATAGAAGATAAGCAATGACAACAGCTACTGAACGTGACACACCGGCTAAACAGTGGACAAGAACAATTCCATTTTGCTTTCTTGCTTTTTCTGGCAAATGGAAAAATGGGTAGGAGGATTTAACAAACTACAAGGAAAAAAAATTAAACAGTTAGACTATGAAATACATACTCTTACTGTTCATATGAAGATAGGGTTTCAGTTTGCCCCGGGCTACACTATTTATCAATTGCACAAATAAATCATTAGGTTTAGGAAAGCCATCAAACTTTATTGTCAATGACACCCTGACAGCTTTTGGAGGAGCACAACGGTTAATGGTGACGATTTATTGAGTTAGTTTTTAAAATCGTCTTAGGTTCGTTTTACTCAGAGCAGTAGCTGAAGTAATACACTAGTCAGCCATATTTTAAGCTTTTCTTTTAGATTTGCGTGATAACTAGTTCATTTGAACACATGGTACAATATTTTTGTATAGTTTACAAGTTTCTGAGTTTGCAGAAAATTCAACAGTAGCACTTATGTAGAACTAATAAATTTAGCCTAATTATGATATATAATGTTGGCGAAAACTGTGATTCAGTAAAAATGAGCATTAAGATGAACTCTAGTTTGCTGCTCTTCCAGAAGTATTTGTGAACAGCTGGTACCTCTCGAAAGTTTGAAAAGCTTGGGTAAATATAGAGCATTTGTTCATTTAATACCCTTGAGAATAAAAAAAAAGCCACTTACAAAAACAAAAGTATTTCTAAAAAATTGCTTGAAAAAGAGGTATTCAGTGAGGTCCGATTATTATTTTGTGGAACAACAAATGCCGAACAGTTTTCGTTAAACTTTTTTCATCACCTTTTCAGTAGACTTTCTCTGCTGGCAATGAATGATTCAATATAAAAGACTTATTCATGAACAATTCTGAGTTCATAATGAATTTTGCTTTTCATACTCTATCGTTCGTAATTGGAACTAATGTCTTCCATAAGCTGGGAAATATACTTATAAGACTGGCAGAAGGTACCAACCACCTTAAAAGTAACCGAAATATTTAAAGCAAAAATAGGAAAAGAATTTCCGATAATTTCTGGTTGGAATTTTCTCAAGTAATAAATCTTGAATTTGCTGTTCGAGAGACAAATTTTCTTCACTGACTATCTCACAAACTAGGGAAGTCACTCCACCCCCAAGGTACTGATAGCTGGCGAAATCTTAGCATGGATCCGAAGACCCGTTTGGCATTTACCAACATGCGGATTCTTTGGTTCAGGTTTGATATACGTTTGCTCATGAAAGGACATGCGTACTGATCACCGGTTTACTAAGTCCTTCATTACAAAAATCAGACGTAGTCGCTGAACCTGAAGGATATGGAGAAGCTAACCGTCTTTGACCATAGGTTTCTGTGCGCTGCCTATCATCTTTGGTGGTTTAATATGATCTGTTATAAGACAACTTGTGAAAAGGTGTGACTAAATTGATATGATTATGAGCGATAATTTATGCTCGAAACATCGTCCAGTTGTTAATACTGCATTACTGTGGGATTATTAAAATAAACTTATATAATGTGGAATTACATTCTACCACGGTGCCCACGTTCTACACTAACATTATAATGAGGTTTTAAATGAGGAAAGAAGGTCACTCAATAACATTGTGAAGCTGTATAGACTGACATAGTTAGGAAATGTGTTGCCCATGGCAAAAAATCAACTAGTCGAGCATTATAGCTGACATTAGAGTAGGCTAGGAAAGAGTTGGGGGTTGAGAAGTCAAAACCTGCCATCAGCTGATGAAGCCTCTTACTTTTGGTTTGAGCCACGCAGAGACTTCCTTAATTGGATCGCTGGGGCTGCAGCAACCTATCGCTTGAGACGGTTTGTGATATGCTTCAAAATCATTTACAAAGAGACAGTAGCATTCACTCTTTGTGATGTTCCAAACCCATAAATCCTCATCATATTCCCTGTAATTATCCTTTATAGTTTCTTCTCATTAATTGTTTCTCTACATTTGAGTACTTGACAAACCAATGCAGGATGAAAACTCAGCTCACTTTGGTTTCCTGAGCTAGTTTTGGTATATACTGTCTTATTTCTTTCTTACTTTTCCATATTTCTACATATGAAATGCCTAAAATGCATTTACAAATATGCAAATGTTACTTACATACTTTGAATGCATACCTGACTAAATCTATTCCACACTTCAGTCACTCAACACTTACCCTTTTGTAAAAGTGGGACAATAAATTATAATCATAAGAAAATACAAAAAGTGCTCTACAGCGTATTAAGGTATAAAGATAATTAATCTTGTAACAAAATCTCATCAGATAATAATACTAAAAATAAAGCATAACACACTGCAAATTTGTAAAAAAGTTTAGATGGTCGTCAAAATTCTGGACTACACCAAGGTTATAGTTAAAACTTTCAGCAAACTAAAAAGTAAACTGGAAACCAATCTGTTATAAAAAACAAGCAAAAGGAAAATTGTGTTTAAATGAAGCCTAATTTTAAATTTATACAGGAATTTTTGATTTCCTTTTAAAAACTAGTAGAAAGTTGGAAATGCAAGAGAAAAGAATGTCATTATTTAAATTTGTGTGCTCCTTTATAGTGCATGTTCAATTAAGATAAATTTTCTATGGATTTCATAACAACACAAAATAAATATCATTGTTAATCCACTTATTTTAATATTTAGATTATGGGTTTTTGTACGGAATAAGATTAAATTTAATGCAAATTTCGTCAAGCACCAGAAACCAAGGAAAACCAAACGGCTGCCTTGCCCTAATTTGGGATTATTCAGCAGTGATCACTCATGATCTCACAAGGGATCAAACCCGGGATCCTTCTAGTGCGAAACCAAGGTCACTGACCATTCAGACACTTTGACTAACAGTCAGTGATCTGGGAACTCTGAATATGTCAATTATTTTGAGCTTATCTAACATGATCCTTGAAGTTAAATTATTCAGAAATGGAAATTAAAAATTTAGATTGCAGTCTAAAATGATCGGGTGATTAGCATCATAATATGAAATAACTTCAAACAATTATAGGAGAAAGTAATTTAAAAATTACTTACTTACGATTCAAAATATTTCAAAATATCAAAAAAGTTTACATATGGGAAGCAAAAAAGTAAGTCAATAAATCCCACACGTACCTATAAACTGTACAGCTCTGTCAAAGGCCGGACGCAAATTTTGGTCAGTTGTATCCGATGCCGGTATATGAAGATACTGTATGCGATTCAACCTTTTAAATGGCATAGGGAGAGTATCTGTCACATTGATTATGTGAGTAACGTTCAACTGTCGAAGTAAGTCAACATCTTGTGAATCACGTGCATTGCCTTTCCATAAAATAGTGAAATAAGTGAGCTTTATTAGTTTTCGAAAATGTTTTTGCATAGCTTGAATATTTCAAATTTAATTTGAAATAAGTGTATATACATATATAAAAATGTTTCCTGAAATTTAACTGAGTGAAACAACCATAACATTAAAAAGGAGCACACAAATAAATCAGACCAACCGAAAAGCAGTTTGAGCTGGGCTTAGATAAATATAGTGCAACCTGTTAAATCAGCAGATGTCAGGTACAGAGTCAAACAGACACTGTGAATCTGTTTCCAGACTATTCACAAAATTTATAAAGACGTAACTGGTTTATTCGAAATATTCTGAATGATCTCATTATCCAACAGTACACTATTCCTGTTTTCCTATGAAGGCATCACTTCTTATAAATGGTGAAAAATTCACAGGTTAGTGTTGTGATCACACTGATCTGCTTAATACACCCATCTATTTCACATAAGTTACTTTGACGTACTTTTTTATATTACTTAGTTATATGCGTCATGTAGTTCTTCTGGTCGCTCCAATAAAAATGAAGAAGAAATTATCATGTGGAGACTTCTTTTCCGAGGAAATCGCCGATACATCCTGTTAAATTAGTCTCACCAAAAACTCATAATTTTACATATCCTTATATTTTTCAGAAGAAATCCAGTTACTCAAACAAATATCTGTTTGCTAATTTTAAAATGAGAATTCATTTTATTGACATAAAACAAAAAGATGGAAAATAATTTTAACATTCTCTACTCGTGTACATAACCACAGCTGAAAGTCGGTCTGGTAATTCGCGATGTATTCATGCTACTTCCCTGAGAAACTGTTGTCACTTTAAAAAACAATTCAGCAGCCAAGATGTTCAGAACAACATGAGGTAAACTAAGGAGAAGTCAATGGGTCGAGTTCATCAATGTTAGTGACAAAGAGTTGACTTTAATATGTAGCCACCAGGTCAAAATCAATAGCGTATGTTCCCATATCCTATTGGTTTACGCTTTTCGCACTTAAAATCCCACACTTAGGTTAACCTTATTGACACCAGTACGAATTTGAAGAATACTTATCTTGAATTTTAGAAGCAACACGAAAGACATTTACACTTCAAGTCGGTTTGCCCATTTATAATATAAGATAAGCATATATTACAGACGTTTTTGAATGTCATAAATTTGATCCTGATAGCCGGGTTCGTATAGACGTGTTATTCAGTGTATGTCTGTATTCTGTTGCTTCAATGCAGCATATTTCTTTTATTTCAGTTTCAGGCACCCTAGCTTGAAGAAGGATATTCTTTGCTCAACTTTTTATAAATGTCTGAATGAATATTTTCGGTATATATTTGTGTTTAAAATATCCTATACATCGCCTACTAACAATCTTTGGAATTGTTGTACTCTCTTGGCACCAAACAAATAATGTTGTTCCGTAACACGCAATTAAATAAGGGAATTAATATAATCTAGGTGGTATGCTAAATGGAGCAATTAAACAGTTACTAGTATGTGTTTTACAGCCTACATAAATCTTTTTCAAATAATTCTGACAGATTTAAGAAATAGAAACTACCTTTAAAAATTCTGTTTATTTTGACACTAAGACTTTTTCTAAGAAATACCACATACTGGTGAGTGCATTTTCTTTGTTTTACTATTTATAAATGAGTGATTCAACTGATCGATTCGTAGGAAAATATCTTGATTTCGAAGTGTTATTCACATAAGTTTGATGGTGAGAAACAGTTAGCAGACATTTGCTGTCTTGCTGTAGTTTCCTCTGAACGACCATTGCCAACCAAAGAATCACAACAATTTTGTCTGATTTTGTTGATCCAGAATCGTTTGTCAACATATAAGTTATTACAAATTATTTCAATGACTTATGTCAGGTTAACTAAAGACTTACTAGCTATTTGTACTATGAAAGCATTTTCGTATTATGAGACGAAATAAACAGTAATTTAAAAGTTGAGTTTTGAAAATATTTGACCATACCCAAGTACTCTGTTTATCGCCAGTCTCCTGAATGACTGTTTAAAAACCGAACGGAAGCACTGACCGCTCGTAAGGCAAAATCAAGTCTATAATTCAGTTTACACGGGCTTATGAAGTTTTTATTGTTCCCTTGGGTTCCTAGTGGAACATAGGGCTTATGAAGTCACTCTACTGATATAAGCTCCCTTACATTGAAAGTCCTCACTGTGTATTAAGAAACAGATGAAACAGAAGGGTGCCATTAGTTTGACACCTTACTCAAATGTTCTCTTTCAATCTTCAGCCTCCCGCTTCACTGCAATCGCTGTAAATAAAATGCCTGTGTTCGTTACTCTACATTATATAAGCGATACATCATCGTCTTTCTTATCTAAACTTCCTGTTTATTCATATTATTTTAAGTTTTCTTAATCCGTGTTTACACTACCATATTTTCATATCCACTCTTCCTCTTTATTTTGTCATTTTACTATTTCTACATATTCAATCCCTGATTGCATAAACAATTATTCATCATATTAGTTTTTTTATCCAAACATCCTGTATATTTTGTTATTTCTACATTTCTAACCCCCAATTGCACAATGTCAATCGTCTTAGTTATTATGCTACTTTGTTTGAGTTTTACCCATCCCCCTGTTTGTTATGTCATTTTAATTCCTAATTGTAATTTTTATTAATTTGACCCCTAACCAGAAATTATTCTGGAACTTTCCTATCCGTTTGATATAAATACACGAATGTACAGCCTAGATGATGACTTCGTCGAAAAGAAAATTTTCTTCGCTGCAATTGTCTTTTTATTAACATCATCAGTAACTGGAAGAATTTTTGAGCACAATATTTTTTCATAATCATATTGTATGTACTCACACGCATTCCTGCTTTGCTTTATATAACCTTACTCTCTCTTATAATAAACTTTACGATTCACACAAGTGAATGAACAAAATATTAAAAAAAATATTTTTAGAAACATTGGTCAATAATAAAAAGTAAACACTAATCACAGCTTATATGAACTCATATTATTAACGCTCATTTCTTCAGGTTGTAGTAACTGACACATTTGACTGAACATATTGTAAAAAGTCAGTATATTGAATTTTAAAAAGCAGGTTGTTCAGTAAATTTATGACATTGTTGCAAATTGATGAGTAAGAATATCATTGTGAAATTTTAAATGTAACTATCTTAATCTTTTACTTTCTTATTATAACCCATGGAGTATTTCTGTCATTTATCAACTTAGTTTAAATGAACTGCAGATCAGTAAAAATTGAGGCTTTCGTCAGCTTTTCGGGATTAGCCTGAAGCTGAAAGCACCAAAGAAGGCATTAGACTGAACTGATCTGAAACAACAGTTTTTTCTCTTGATTACTGTTTTGTCTCTGAATACATACTCTACTGACTATATAAACAAAATCCCTAGGGTTTATCTTCATTAAATAACTGTAACGATTATATTTAAATATATCATAACAGTTTCTAAACAGATGCATTAAATGATGCATTTTAATCTGTCTATTTGTTTTCGGAAATTCGCACTACTTTATTATTGACTTCCTGCGAATACTAAACATTATTAACGATTTTCTTTAGCGTGTGTGAATAAGGTATTGCGGACACTCTTCAGACAAATTACTGTAAAACCTAATGTACTGTTAAAATTCTGAAGTGTAAAGCTCTACCCAAAATATACCAAAGGTCAGCTGACAGACAAACCAACGTAACATACACTACGTGACATTCAAATTGGCACTTATCAGCAATGTATTTGGATACATGAGACTAAAATCTTTTCAACACATCAAAAATACTCTCATTTCAGTGTAATTAAGAAAACTAATCTTAAAGAATTCACATCAAGAAACCTTTCACGAGTTTTTCCAACGGATATTCTAATTTTTCACGTTTTTTCATCAATACAAAGTGAGTAGATTAAAACAGTACATTTCTGTCTGGTTCGTTACTTTATTAGTATCTCCTCAGTTTCCTTACTCGTTTCACACACCTTTATGAGTATCACACAACTGCCTAAGCATAAATGTAAAATAAGAGGTCCGCAAACTTAAGGTGAACGTACAGACAAGGACCTTCCAAAGATCAAGGGAATCGTGCACGTAATGATGGTGTGTATCTTGTTCAGTGTTTTTTCCTCAGATGAAATCCATTCTTAGTCCATTTCAGTTTTGCTTATATTCTGTATGCTTAAGATTTCCCAGTTTTCTTTAATCTAGATGTTTTCTATAGTTGGGTTGTCTTCATGTACCTCAAATAATTGAAGAGTTTACAATTTGAAATAGCAGTCGGTTGAGCAAAAGTTTCTGTATTTTAGGTATAAGAAAGGTATCGTCTTTTGAATGTTATCACAAGTACCACAGTATAAATTTGACTAAGGTTCACGACTATTTGATATTTTGCATTACTTTTGATGCATATACCTAGGTTTGATTTTGAAAGGTTTATTTATAACGACCGTGTATACATAAATATACCTTTTGCTGTAGTTGTATTTTCCGAACAGAATGGTTTAGTTATGAAGCTTTTTTTTGTTTTTTTAGACACCTTCTGTGCAGCCTTCAATGTGAATTCAACCTTTAGAATCCCCCTGGAATTTATTAGTCATCTTTCCAGGTGACTTTGAGTGTCACTGATTATTTCGGTCGATTTTCTCACTCCCCAGTTCACTTTTAATGGTATGTATTATTTTGTTAACCTGACAATTAACCTTTTGACAATGTGACTTCTTTCTTATCGTTTGATTAGGCTGATCTATGTCAGTCTGTTTGCCGATTGTATGTTCATCTGAGTAGCAGGCTTCTAGGCACTTCCAAGCATTTCCGGTGTCTTCTCTGTCTAAGATTTGCACATTTCCCCTGGTCGAATTGATGTCCATTGTTGTCTGTGTGCCTTGATATTATAGAACGGATATCATGTCTTTTGACAATCAGTCTATACCTGTGGATGCAAATTCGAAGGTTTTGCCAATCTCGGCCAATATTTTTTCGCAATTGCTGCACTTTATCATGTAGACGATGTTTGTTCTGACATTTTTGTTGTTGTATCTTTTGGTTGACATAGTGTAAATTAAAATTATTTCGTCTGTACGTGAGTGAAATCTATTCCAAAAGGTTTCTGCAGTCTCGCAGTGATCTCACAGATGTGCTCCAGATATAATGGAACGATTTTTTCTTTAAGATTCCATTGCATGATTTTGAACTGGTAGGTTGTGTTGACGCTACATATCTTTTAAGAAGGCTGTACAGGTATCCATTTTCCTGGAAGACGGTCATAGAAGCTTCTCATCCACTCCCCTAAGGCTAGGGTACTGCAGTTTTTTCTGTCTCTCTTAAAAAAAATTAATGAACTATTCAGTTGTTTCTGCTGTAACTGACTATTTGATCTGCATGAATCGATTTTACATAAACTTGAGTCTGTATTTTTCCTGCACTTATTTGCTTCACCAAGATGTCTAAAGGTGGAACTTTTCATCAGATTTCTCTTCTATTATAGATTAGATGTCGTAAAAGACATTGATTAGATCCTAAGTGTTCACTAAATCATTTATTCTAATTATCATGAATGCACCTTCCACGTAACATATTCAAATATTAGGTTTGCTATTTGGCGGAATTATGATTTCAGGACTTTTCATTACAGCTCTTACAAATAATTCTAGTGTGGGTGATGCTATGTGTCTTTTCACATATTTAACCATTCAGCTGGAAATGTTATAAAATCTTTAAATATTCCCATTTTTAATATTAGAACAAGACATAAAAGCGAACAATATTGTTTTCAATTAGATCTTCTTCAGGCTTTACTCTAATTTACATAGATTTATATACAAAATATGGGAATTCGAGAGAACAATCCTAGACTTTGCATACAAAAGAAGTTTGTTCTACCTTTGTTTCTCCCTTGGCCTAGGTGAATTCTATTCAAAACCCTCCCGCCCTTTCTTATTTTCCATTTCCTTCGTACTTTTATGATATTTATTTAAATTCTGATTATCTGTCCACTTCACCTTTTATTTATTGAATTGTCTATATATACACATATATACTACCTTTGCTATTCTTATCACCTGCATGAACCTTATTATCAATATTTTGTTATCATTATAATGATCGTTATTAATTTCGTTCAAAACATTTACCACATTATTATTATTTGATCCACAAAATCACCGTCATTGGTTAAAAATTTTTATATATAAATCTATGTAAATTAGAGTAAAGCCTGGAGAAGATCTAATTGAAAACAATATTGTTCGCTTATATGTCTTGTTCTAAAATGTTATTAAACAGAATTTTGTAAATTCAGTCTAATTTAAGTGTGACATTTTAGAGTGTTAAACCTTCCCAAACAAGGAATGATTGTTGCATTGTTTCTTTTTGCTAGTTTTAGCCCATCTGAGGTGTGTCACGCTGGGTCACCAGAATATCGTCAGTATGGTTATTTTGACGGGTATAATGTTAGACAAATATGACTTCCACTCGTAAATGACTAAATTCCAGTTTTATTTATAGTAGGTTGCCTAATGTATAACATAGTTTACTTATTTACATAATATAATAATAATTTGGAATATAATTTGTATTACTTACCTAAATAAAGATACGGTAAAATTTGTGAAATACTTGCACCAAGAACGTCGTCATTATTTTGAGGTATCGACGCTCTTAATGGAGCTTGTTTAATACGTACAACTAGAGTTTCGTCACCAGTACTGTCCTTTAAACAAGAAATAATTTTTTCTGTCTCACTACAATCAAATCCATTTAAATTGTGACAGGATATTTCTCCCGGGATAAAATGATCGTGAGTAGGGTTTTCCTTGTTATGATGACACTTCGAGATATCATGTCTGCTATCGTTCAGTGTAATCACAAGCTTATTGTTAAACACACGTGAAACACACGAAGAATGGTCCGAATTGTCACTTAAGGAAGCAGGTGATGCAGCTTCTGAACACGAACTGTCATCAGTATGAAAACAATTGATTAGAAGTGGTGATTGTCGATCGATGAAATCAGAAGATCCACGCAGATTTCTAAAAGCTTCAAAACCACCTGCAATTGAAAACATCAGTGATAATTCTTGGTAATGAATTTAGAAATAATGACCGACATGAAGCGTTAAAATTATGTTGATTGGCAGAATACATTAATCATAGTGTTTAAAAATATTTAGAAATCATTTTAATGCGTCTAAACACTTTAAACACCCTCAAGATTATGTGAGACTATTTACAGGTAGTTTTGATCACACATTGACTTTACTGAGAAGCTCTTACAAAAGTAGACACCTGGATTTTCTATAATTCTGTTAACATATGTGTGTACCGAGTTTGAAAGAAACTGTCACATCAAATAAAAGATTTGGAAACTCGAAGTTTGTGCAAATAAATCTGTAAAAAGTAAATTTCCTCAGCCAATCATTCTTTGGAGATTAAAGTTTATTTATTTATTATTTATTTAGTGCTTAGGGAATATAACGTTATTATCATATAATACCATACGGCATAACAATGGAGAATCAGTCGTTTTTATTAAGTTTGTGTTATCTGGCATAAACTATTTTACCATATTTTTGGTATCTATTAACGAGATATGTGATAAATGTGACTTAATTAGTTTGGCAATAGTATCATTCACTTGGTATTTATCGTAAGTATTAGCAACAACAGTATGTTCAGCCTATGCAAACTGAAGTATTAGCTCACTAGTCCCCAAGTGAATCATTGATGTAAACCTCGCTTGGATTACTGACATCTTATCAGCTGTTTAGGATTGTTAGTCATCAAATCTTAGTGATGTCTTATGGTTTAATGCACATACCTGAATATGTTTGCTCAGTTAATTTTATTTTTACCTATCTGTGTGGTGATAGTGAGTAACATTTGTGGGAGTGTTGTGATATTTTTTTAGGAATCATTACTTTTATTGGAAATGACAAGTAAGTTTCCACAGGGTTTACACAATGGCTCAATGAAAAAGAATAATATTTTGTTCACGGAGCATATAAACGTTTCAACTCATTGTGAAATATTGATTAGTTCTCAATTCTACAACTTAGATGTCCAGATATTATGACTTCAAAGGTATCGTATCGCGTTTATGTAAAACACAGCTAAATAAAATGACTTTAACGTGGGTTCAATGCTTAGCAAAATAAAGTTAAACGTCACAAAATTCGACACTTCGTGTTGTCGATATTACTCTGTTTTCATTTCACATCATTCAGAGAGCAATGTTATATTACATATCAACTTTTAGGTCAGTGATGATGCGATGTCTTCTTTTTTATTGCGAGAATATGCTATAAATTTCTCAAAAAAGCAGGGGATTTCAGAAGAAAATTCCTATAAATTTGAGTGCTATTAACAAAAATATTCGCAATTTTGTTAAACGTTGATATTTATTTCTGAATACCTACTTATCTTTTCTGCCTTTGACTGGGAATAATAAAATTTATCAGGTTATACAACATATTTTATAAATAATCTGTGACAGATTGGCGTCTTAGAGCCCTCTTTATTCACCTTACACTCTTTATTTAACAGATCTTTTATTTGTGCTTATACTTTGCTTTGTAGACTGGTTAAAGAGTAATATATTGTACAAACGCTATTACCTTTGTCAAGATCACTGAAGTTGATGCAACATCATATTTATATTATATATATATATATATATATATATGTAATATACACTCTGAATTAAAATGTCATCTAATTTAATCATATTCATGATTATAAGTTGTTCAATAAAGTAGGCTTGAATATCCTTAACAAATTTGTGAGTGAAGAATATTGTCAAACTAAGTACTACTATATAAATCAAACTACCTATATTAAGGCTTCATAAAACTAATTTTTAGGTTTACTATGTGTTCTCATTGATTTACAGTAAACAAAACACGATTATACCACATGATTTCAAGGGACCTTAAAACAACTTTTGTGTGTTAACTCTGAACAGCAATTGATTTGAAGAAGTGTTTTGCTGAGCAAATCACACAATTTTCACAAGCAGCTGTATTATCCACACTTTTTTCACATAAAGTTTTTACAGAATTAAAGGTGTTACACTGTAATTTACATTACTTTAAAACAACACATAAAAATCTTTGATAAAAACCAGAATATATCTTAACTACCGAAATACAAGTAGAATGGGAATGCATAGGCATATGATCGTGGAATATCTGTTATTCGTTATACAGCGGCGAAAGGTAGAATCTAAATAAATTTGATTATCTGTAAGTAAATCTGTTTTATTATCACAAAAAACCCAAGAGTGGAGTTTTTCATATTTCTGTACACATTTCACACGGTAGATTCTTGTAAAATATATCTGAATAAGGAAATAAGAACAATATTTACACGACAGAATAAAAAAACGGTTTTATTTCAGTGAAACTTTTATCACCACACAATCTGAATAAGGAAGCATATAATCTGTGAAAAGAATTCAGTATTCACATAAACATTTTGCAAATTGTTATATTTGAGATTTTATCAAACGAGAACGTTTATTTAAAAGGCCTGGGCAATATAGTTTTAAAGTAGACGAGTGTATTATTTCAGTCGCCATAAATTAATTGCAGTCAGTAAAAATGAATAACCAAAATCATAGCTTCTCCACAAGAGGCGGCTATCTTGACTAACCAGTGAAAAAAACATAAAGCTTTGTTGATTTATTCCCTTTATATAGGACACAAACCTCAATAAGTTAACCATTATTCAATGAGGCTTTGATAAACTCAGCCGATGGGTCCTGCATAGCAGCTCTAAAGGACCATCCAGAATACCACGTCAAGCCATCATAAAAATTTTATGCCAGAAGTTAACTAATTTCCACTCCGTTTTTGTGTTACAATGTTAAAACTTTTACATTATTTATTTAAATCACATTCACCTGAAATAACTTAGTAGAAAAAAAATTGATATCGAACTCTGCTACCAGTTAATTTCCTACCAAGAATTAATCGTTTCATAGTAAGATAAAGTATCCGAATAAAAATAATCTTAGTCACCCTTTCTACCATATAGTACTCGGAATATCACCTTTTCTATTAGAAATAGAAAAAGTACACTTATTTACTGACAAAATGTATGGAATAAAAAATATTTTTGTTAAATAGATTTGCTGATTGGTCAGCCAGGGTTTATATATATATATTGTTTATCTAACTCTTAATGATAGCTTTTACATCATTACACACAAATGAAATTGTGATTTGGATCCCGGAAAACTATATTTCTTCTCAGACATTTTATTACACAATCGCGTATTATTTATGGTAAGATTCTAACCGTATGAGGGTGTCCACTGAACAGCTTTTTTATGCAATAGTAAAAGTAGTAGTGGAATATATTATCACAGTCTGTGTTAGCCTTACTACAGAAATAATAAAATTATTATGTTGATCATAAATATGATGATGAGGATTGCTGTTTTGCGGAATTTCAATGAGATTATTCAGCCATCCTGGATTACAAGAATCCAACTAATCGGCTGACTAACGGAATTTGTTTGTTTGAGTAACAAAGGTAAGGAAGGCGGCATAACATTTCAGTACTAGGCTTTATAGAGTGGCTTTATTGCATATCCCGCTAATTGTAGCGTCGCAGTCCGTTGTTATGGTGATTTAATGACAAGTTTTGTTTTTCATAGGCTTCTTAAATGAAATTTTGCAGTAAACATTTTTTGTGGCATACGTATTATCAGATGCACTATATCCTTGAACTGAGTTACATTTGCTGCACTTTCGTCAAAATCAATTGGTTTTCGATAGTGATATCTGCGCAATGCAATGGATTAAAAGAGGCAGCAGATTCAAAAGCTGGACATATATTACTGAATTTTCAAAAATCATGCTGGTATATTTTGGCTTATTTATTTAAAAACATCCCAAATACCCACCGGATAAAAGTGGCACCTATTTAGAAAAAGGGATATTCCACATAATCGTGGCTTTATAAGTCTAATTCTCAGTTGTGTTGAGCACTTGAATCTGCGCTAATTAGGCTGTGAGAACTAAACATTTACAAGTCCCTTGGGTAACACTGTTCACTGAAAATTCTTCCCTGAAACAACTTCAAAAAGTAACGAGTTATGTTTAACCACTCGTGCTATTTTTTCGGTAATTGCTTGTGAAAAAGGGATGAACTGAGAGAACTTAAAGGGACAAGTCACAGATGGACTTTACTTTTATCATTAAAAATACAACGCAAAACATTTTGGTTGTGTTTTGTGTGCATTATGGAAGGCAAACGAGTAATCCTTCCTAACTGTACCTCTTATCCAACATTCAGTTCATCATATAAATATTCAAGTGCAGGGAGTTGATTGATTTCAGTTTGGACCATAAAGTGTCTTCTGCTAGAGAACCACTGGAAAATGGGGAGTACTGGACAGCCGTCTGTTTCTAGCTCAGGACTCTTCAGAAGTTCGCCACACATCCATCAGATTTCTGAATAAAAATCTTCCGTGGTGAGCATTAAGAGCGGATTTTCAGCACAAATGTCACGTCATTTCTTCTACATGAATCATAAACTTGGTGCATCACGAAAAGCATTCTCAACAGATTGCAGCTGACTGTACTTGCTCCATACTGAAGACCTAATGACCAGAAATAATTAGCAACAAGAAACTATGGGAACAAAATAATCAAGAACCTAATATTCAGTAGATACCAAGGAGAAAATTTAGATGGATAGAGCACATGCTGAGGAGACCGTCGGATGACATCGCGAGCCAGTCCCTCGAGTGGAATCCGAATAGGAAAAGATGAGTAAGTTGTCCTGGGTGACATGAAATAGATCGTGCAAAGAGGAGATGAGAGATTATGAGCAATCGTGAGCTCAGGTAAAGAGGACAACAGAAGAAAAAAACAGTGTGGGGATGTGTTGTTGAAGCCCTTTGTTCCACGCGGAACCTAAGGGAACAATAATAACATAACAGTAAATTGCGTCTCAGCTCCTAAATTCGATCTCCGCCGGGGTCATATGTACGTACTACTGAATAGTCCTTAACTACGAGGAAAAAGCCGTCCAATATTCCCTGGTTTTCATTGGTTAACTAACTGAAGTGAGTTCATATGGCTTATAATGTAAATGTCTTTAGTAACATATTTCTTCACAAATCACCTTAGCATATATATATATATGTTTAGCACAGTCTGAAATTATGTAAATATGCGTTTCATCGCTTAACCGAGGGAGATTCTGGTAAGTGGTCTGGTTAGAATTACCCTCTACCCACTTAGGCTGGCCAACCAAACAGTATCCCCAAGCCTCAAATAAAGAGTATGGCCTACATGAAGAAAGAATCTGTTCCGCGTGACTTAATTACAGCCAACCAAGAACTGAGAAACAATTTACTGTAAAGAAGTAAAATAATGTCTTATCACGCCTTTCAAGATTATTTAGTGAGATAAAAGTGGTAATTAGTGGTGAAGCGGAATTTAAGAAAGTAGTTGGATTTAAGTTACACTAAAAAAATTTATCATCTTTTATTTACGTTGACCTAAATTTTGCGGATATAAAAAACTGAATAGCAAACAAATTTCCAGAATGTTTTATTGATTTAAATGGCCTTTAACTGGGTACTGCTGAAAATGTATAACATATGAGAAAAAATTAGTGTAAGGAACTAAAAGTCGACTTGCGTGATAATATTACATCTCTATTCAGTCGACAGTTCTCGTCAAGTTTATGTGAACAAACTTAATAAGAAAACTACAATTTCATTGTTCACATGAAGTAAAATAAAACATCGATAAATCACAGATAACTATTATTATTACTACTACTAATACTACTAAAATAGTAATCCAGCAATACATTTTACATTATATCGAAACATTTACTCATATTTTTGTTTACACTGGAACTAAACATTCCAAAAATAGAACCTAAAGAGCAACAAAATGCATTTAAACGATGGCGGTTTAATAAATTATACAAAACACTGATCTTTTAATACATTGGACAGAAAGAAACTTAGTTATCAAACAGTCTATGAAACTAGAATCCTACTGATTCAAGTTTTAATTAACTTTAATTTTACAATTGAATATTATCTTATCATCTCTGAGGAATTTCACTTTATGAAAGAAAAAAAGCTGAAGAAATATCCCTGGTACTCTGACTTAATTGTGTTCTTTCAAGGTTAACATTACAAATAAAACTGTTCATTAATCGGTTAGCTTTCTAAGTAATCCAAAACTAGACGGATGACGACAATCTCTTGTGTTATTGTTGTAGGCAAAATTTCGTACTATACCGGTAGCAGAGAAGTTCCAAGTTTGTGTATTTTTCTTTTTCAAGAGAAATGGTGAGTCTAAAATTTCTCTTTCATACCATAAAATTTATTTAGTATATTTCGCAAGGTTACAAAAACAATTATTCTTAGATATTAGGTAACATTTATAGAACCAATAGATGAATACTTTATTTTGTGTCCTGTAACTTCATGATTCTGAACCAATATCTTAAGTGATGATTTTTTCACACTACTTAGAAGCTTTAAACCAAATGCAAGAAACCGGCATTGTAATAATTCAGCCCCAAAAGATGAGCTTAAATCGCTATGAAAGTAGTAGTTTATCTGATGCCACTAGTGAGCGGTGGTTGTTCATCGGTGGTTCAATCGTGGATGTTCGCCCACGACTTACGTCGTTGGTTTTCGATTCCTGGATGACACACTCCTAAACCTGGTCTAAATGGTAGTCAACGCGGAGAAGAGAGAAGGTTGGGCCTGTAGCTATCAACTCTAGCCTGTAAAACAACACAATCACTAGAGAAACCAGAAAGTTTGAAGCCCTATGTTCCAGCTGGAACTCAATAGAATCTCAAAAAATGGTCGTTGGCTAGTAATGAGAGACAATGTTAGTGTCCCTACTTGTATAAAACTGGTTGGCTGTATCTTAGTTCAATTTAAAAATTAATAATGTTCTCATGAAGAATATAAACAATTACTAACCACCACCTAACAAATGAAATGATAGTGAAACGCCAAGTATTCGTTCCAGGGGAGATTGATTAATTTAGTTAAATCAGGTAAACAAGAAGTCATAAAATACTAAGAAAATAATTGGTAAAATATCTTTCTACAGAATAATAGGAAATGAGGGCAAAAGGAGTCTGGTTTTCAGTACGTATACAATTGGATAGCATTCTAATCAACTACAATGACATTTAACCATATAAAAATTAGGGAAGTAAGCAAAGGAATAAGTGGATTGTGAGTCTAAGTGGATGAGTTTGAGTTATTGATTTTCCATTTAACAAAATGCGTTTTCTTATTTTCTTAGGTGATAGAACTATACCACTTTTACTTGTCATTCATCTATTAAGCTAAAGGTATGTGAGTCAAAATATTTTCATGTTCAAAGTTGGCACTGTAAACACATCTTAATTACCCTTAATTTCTAGTTTGTCATAATGAATTTTCATTTTTGCTGATCATACACAACTAACTCACTCTTTATAGGAATCTGAATACTGAATCCTGGTTTATCGAGTCTACGCCCAACACATGCAACAGAAGGGACTCAGCGCATTTACCACAGTGCCAAAGTTTTATACTGATATCGCTAATCTGAATACATCTTTGGCTGTTATAGATTTTACCAACTAAGTGGTTGGTTTGCAGCAAAAGGTAACAGTTGATTACATTTATGGTCATCATGAAAGCTACTGTACACATTACGTTTCGGTGTATACCATTGAAAGGCACACACCTTAGGGGTGATTCCATTAATTTGTTTCTTTTTTTTAACTAGTTAATCCAGTGATAAGATATTGTCGTCATCCAGACTCAGAATATAACATAAACGCTTTCTAATGGAAATGTAAATTCTTTCACTGGAAAATACTCTCTACGTAACTACAGTAGAGCTGAATTGAAGACTTGGGTTGTCTGGATTTGATGAGATACATTATCACACTTAACATGGAAAGCACCTATTGAAGTAATTGTTCTGAATGATACCCATTAGAGAAGAAACTTTCAGATTGTAGTACTCATTTAGGTAGACTTCTTACGGGTCTTGACTATAAAGTCAATGGTTAATAGATAACACTAGACTTATCTGAATTTTATGAAAATTTACTATATGGTTAATCTTTAAAACAGAAATCCAGTAGATTTATTTTAAAAAATAATCTTAGATGGTGACTTTACGGGTAAATATCATTCCCATCTTCACATAATACTAGCTTTCTAAAGAGCATCTAAAAGTGCATTTTCGTGTTATTCAGTGTATAACTGAATAGCTCGGTGTGCTTGACTTTCAGAAGCATTGGAAATTTGGTGTAACCCAGGTACCAGTTTGCAAGTATCTACGATATATTAACACTTGATTCTAAGTGGTTAAAAGGTTCTCATGCAAGTGAAGAAGTTGACCAAATGATTATAATCGTAAAATAAACTGTTTATTTTTTATAAACCAACATAGCTGCATACAATACCACATTAATCTGTCAATTAGATATTAAATTAATTAAATTAAATTAAATTACAAGGGTTCGAATCCCAGTGGATGATTCCCAAACTAGGATGAAACAGCAGCTGTCCAGTACTCCCTGGTTTTCAATGGTTCTCTAACTGATATCAGGCCGTGATCAACTCGTAAAAACATAACAAACCCTTACAAACCAAACTATGGAAAATATATATTATATATTTAATGTTTTAATATTTTGATAACTACACCTTTCTGGCCACCATGGTGATGATGTAGTGTACAAAATGTGGCAAAACAATTGAACGTAAAGATGGTATAAAATTTCATATATCAAAAAGATCTACACCAACAATTACTTACTATTTTACAATCTAATCGAAAACGTTGTATATAACCGTACTTGTTCAAAGCTATCGGTGAAAACCGTGAGTCACAAGTAGAAAAATATCCTAACAGAATAATGATGACAGCAGTCACAGCAATAAGACTTACATGTTTCAGATGAAGATGAAGAGGGAATATAAATAAGGCCTTCTGACATCTTTTGAACTATTCCACTTTACTGGCTGTCCACTGAAATTCGTGCATAAAACTGAGTTAAACTTCCAAATTCATTTTAAAGGTAGGCAAAAGTTGGATTTTCATCGTTCATTTCAAGAACCTTTTCAATTGACAAACATTTTTATAAATGTTTAAAAATAATTGATGAACACACTATGAATAAATATATTTGAGCCATTTTAAAGCATTTGCCTCAACCATTCGCTGCTCGGGGAATGTTGAAATAGGAAAAAAGTAACCTAGTTGGAGTTTTATAACAAAGTGTTATCCAAGTATTTCTACCTACAGAAATTTGCCAGTAAAAGAAATCACATGAAATAAATTATTGAGGGAATCTCATTAATATAACGCATACGATGTGAGAAATGAACTATATTACACTAATTTATCTAATGCGAATGTGACAAAGCATACTCTACTGCTATTATTTTTCCGTTTAGTCTTGAGTTGAACACACGGTTTCAGTAGCACATCTATATTTCACTCTCTTATCTGCAGTCTACTTTAGCTACCATCACCATTGTCCGGACGCCCATCTTACCTTTTCCTACTTGCGTTCCACTGAAGAGCCTAGCACAAAAGATTACTGAACGGTCTCCTCAGAGTCTATCCGACCCATCTACATTTTCTTCTGCATACTTGTTGAGCAATAGGTTTTTGGTTGGTTAGTTCCTGGGGTTCATTTTTGCTTGTTTTCTTTAGCCATCTGATCACCAGTATGCAGAGAAAGCAGCTGTTGATAAAATTCTACAGCCTGCTGAAAATGCTTTACGTGACGCAGCAAGTTTTTGACTCATATATTTTAGAAGAACTGACTTAAAATTGATGTTGGAAACCCGAATTTTGTACTTTATAATGAATGCAATGGATTTCCGAATATATATATATATATATAGTGTGGAAAGTATATTGGTGCCTCAAAATGTATGTTGAATTAAATGAAACTGATGTACGTTTTTAATATCGTTGACTGTAAGTAATTGTAATCTATTACTGATTAAGGGGAAAAAAGTAGTTATAATTCAGAATAAAATGACGTCCTGACTACAAACAAAATTGCAAATTTTTTAATTGGAAACGAACTAGACTTTGTATTACTGAACTTCATTAGTGAGTGGAGCAAGGCTGCTTCAAATTACGTCAAACTATGTGGTACTAGTGAAGCTGGGAAATGAAAACTTTTCAACTAAATTTTTGACAAAGTGTTACTTTTAAGCTAACAGTCAAATGAGCTTCGACCATAAAATTACGCCTGAAGAAAGCCTTCACACATAACATTGATTGTTATTGGTAATAGCATAGTAAGTTTCACCTCGTATGTGATATCATTAATCAAAGCTATTTAAAAAATATTTTTTATTTGTTTACACGTTTTAAGAATTTTTTTCTCCTTGAATGACAAATCTCATCAAAACTAATTCCCCTGCTTGTTTAACTTTAATAAGCCAATTCAAAATATTTTATTGGAGAACAACAGCTTTTATGTTAATGGTGTGTACTGCTGAGTTAAAAAGTTCTTGCTTTATTGAAGATAAGATTTAGTCGTTCGTTCGAGCTCACTTTTACAATAAACAACTTTACATGAATTGGTTTCAAAATTGACTTAAACTCTAATGTAGTGTCTTTAAATAGGGCTTTTATGATCAGTTTAATGTCACAGGAAGAAATATATACCGGCGTTTTAGTTTTTCAAAATAACAGCTCAGAAACCAGTTTTGCAGATAAGCTCCACTTTACAGGTCATTTTTCATGCCTCCTCATATACGATTATGTTATTTAGATTAAAATATCAGTACAAAGCAGAATTTTCACTAGGATACAAACAAATTTACAGCAAAACGTCAATGCACTTTGCAAACAGAATACAAAAATATCATTTACAATCGGTGAGGTCATTTATCAAATGAATATCGTATGGCGAATAAAAACAGAACAGTGGGAAATCTACCGCATATTTCTTTCTGAAAAAATAATCATCACTCTAGTCATCCAATTAGAATTTGCCTAACGTTTTTTTGGCTGCTTAACATTTACACAGAAACAGATGAAAGCATTTTCTGTATAATAGGTCACCTATTAAGAAAAGAAATACATTCATACATAAAGGGTATTCAGTTAAAAATCGAATTTTTGCTTAAAAGACTGAATGAAATGCATAAAAAACTGAAAAAAACGAGTGAGAAACTTAAAGTAGAAATTCTGTGCGAAACTTATCAACATAATTTGCTTCACTTTAGCGAAAGAAAGAATAGAAAAGAGTTTGATAGGAATCCAGCTTTAAACAAAGTTAAGGAACACTAACCTAAGAAAGATGAAGACATTTTTTTAAAACCAGTGGTGATCGCTAACTTTCACTTTTCAACATACAGTTTAATCATTAAAAAGAATGCATGAAACACCTCCGTGTTCTACAAACGATTTAAGTTCTTCCCCTGGTCAAATTATACTCCAGATGTTACTGTTTCCATAGCAATAAAAAAAGTAATAACAAAGATTAAGTAATAAAAGTAAACTCAACTATATGTTATATCAAACAAGCATAACACATAAATAATAATAATAAACTGATGACTATCAGATCTGTCATCTTAGGTTCAGAGAAGAATACTAGGACACTGAAGATTAAATACCCGACAACAATGCAGAATACAAAGTAAAAATCCGGTTTGAGTTTTAAGATATAGAAATCAAAACCTGATTTGTGTGTTTCATGTTATTTGCATGTTTGTATCCATAGAAAACTATTTAACAGTTCCCATTTCAACTATATTTCAAAAGAATTTCAAATAAGTTAATTTTAGTTAGTTGGTTTTAAAATTAAACGAATTGTAAATCAATACGATTCAACATGATTGTTCCTGTCATGAGTTAATTGTTTTGGATATTCGTATTGTTGTCAGATGATTGGAGCCTAACGGAAGGGTAGCCTGGACCTAGGTTCCGTACTAGATTGCAGTCATCAGAAAGACATATATGTATTCTCGAAGGACCTCATGACTATTCTGAGATTTGAAGATGTGTCACCCACTACTGCAGTCAGAGACGTAACCACTGAGCTATTCGGGCTTGCAACTGGCCTCCTTTGAATAAATTTATCACTAATTCTGTAGCGTTTGTTTTCAGTACCATTAGGATGTTCGCAAATTGCTTTAAGAACTAAAGAGGTGTTTTGATGATGAATATCTATCCAGTGGTAGTCATTTGTGTGTTTAAAGGAGAAAATGTAAGAGGAGGACCACTGACTAAGGTGACGAAAAACCTGGTAGCTTGAGTCGTATTTCAGCCTTTCAAAAATAGCATTTCTACAATGGATATTGGAATGGTTACTTAGTTTTCCGTTTGTGTGTAAAGATTCATTTCCACTATATATCTAAAATTTTCTGCAAGGTCATTAAACAACATACTGATCTGTCAACTGTGGCAGTTAACTAACTTAATACACGTAATAAATAGAAAACAGACAGCAAATTCCCCCCAAAAAAGCTGTGTTGTCTTCAGTTGAAGCAATGAAATTCACATTGGGCTATAAAGGCTAAATTCTATAATCAACCCTAATTTGTGCTTTTGGAATCACTTAGATTGCTTTACATCTATACTTTTACTTCAGAATAATTCTTGAGACAAGATTGAATTTAACTGTCTCACATAGTTTAATTTGAGAAAATTCTGCAATTATATCGGAATGCTGATCATGAAAAATTCACTCTGCATGAATAAAAATCAATAATCACGTGACCGCTGGCGCGCACACACACACATTTGAAATTCTGTGTGTATTCTGAATCTTAGTATATAAAAAAGTAGCGTGTGTCGTTGTTTTTCTTTTGTGCTAATTAATTTAATTAAATTTAGTAACAGATTTGCATGTTGTAAACAAAAGTGAGAAGTGAATTAAGCCTAGCAAGAATTTAAACAACCACATGAGGAGTATATGTCAAGTAGTACTTACCATAGAGCTATTAACCAGTAAACAATCACAATGTCTATGGATAACAAAATGCTAATTTAAGTAGTTTTATCAACAGTCTAAAGGTGATGTTTATATTTTTTTTAATGATAATAGATTTGTTACTGTAGATTGCTTGTATCTTACGTGATGCATGACATTTGTTCAGTATTCTTTGTGAAGAAACAACATCGGATGGAGTCATCTGCACTAATGAATATGCGTATATGATGATCGACGATGGTGAAGGGTTTTTTTCGCAAACCTGATTTTACTTTTTAAAAATCTGAGTTTTAAAAGGCACTTGGTCGCAAAGATATTTAATAGTGAAGAACTATAGGAGTTATGGAGAAAAGGTCATCAAATGTGTCCACACCTTTTAAATATGTTTCATTTCCCATTGTTTAATTTCATTGCAATGCCTTTTGTCATTTACTGATGTTACTCCTACTGAACTTCATCAGGTGTTAATTTAAGCAGATATTGGATGAAGACGTGACCAGTTAATAAAACAGTAAAATTTAGATCTTTTTGCAGTACCTGTAAGCAAGGAAATTTGAGGATATAACAATGTTTTATTACCAGATTCGAGAACTGTCAGGCCGTGAACACTGAAATGAAGAAGCTCAAGATATTAGTGTAAGAGAAGGATTTGAGCACTGCGGTAGGACATGATTTCATTATATAGAATTTTTTTCGAAACATCATCCAGCTCTTAGTACTGCATCACTTTGTGCTTTATAAAATGAACTTAATCAACATGAAATTCAAGACATTTGCTGCTTGACTAAATTTAGAATCGCTCGCAGATGTTTCACGGTTTCCTTTTTATACAGAAATACTTAAGTCCTATTAAATCAGTGTTCCACAGCTAATAAAATAATCTTCAGATTAATTCTACTCGTCAGTGCTTAAATTACTTTGCAATATGAATTAGAGCCAGCATGATCAAATATCCTAATTGCTGTGTTTATTTGCATATAATACCCCATAGATTTTATGCTTAGTGTCTAAAAAAGCTTTCAGATGCATTACTCAGTTTCTGTCATGTATGCATTGTAATGCTCAGCATGAGAAAAGTCACGTCATCAAAGTCTAGCGATATTATGGTGTTACTGCTGGGACGATATATGAAATTACAATTTTTTTAAACCTATAGGATCTTTTATAGTTCTTCTGTTGTTTTTTAAGACCGACCGTTTTAGCACTTATTAACAGAATAGCTATGAGTTTTCCTTTATTTGCTAACAGGTTAAACTAACCAAACAGCTATACCTAGAGAAGAAAACGTTTAGAAGTGGAGTTATATTTCTAATCTTCTAAAGTGGTATGAAAA